TATTGTACGGGGAGCAAATATTCCGGCGTGCCCGTATTCCTTTCTTCCGAGCTCCGTCGATGTCCGATCACCTGCGAGCAAGTAATGGCTGGCCCGATTGGCTCGAATCCAAAACGACGTTGTTTTGGAATTTTTTTTTTTTTTTCTTTTTTTTTGGTTGGGGGTTTGTTAGGGTTGGGGTTTGAGATTAGAAGGTAAAATAACTATTCCTAATTTTTGTAGAATTAAATTGGAAAATTTGGTTGAAGTTCCCTCGTAATAAAACTTTAATGCATTAAGGATAAGTAAAAAAAAAAATTCTTGAAAATTTCAACACATACCACTATTATCAAATTATTAAATTTTAAAATAATATAATTTTTGATGTAAATATCAGTTATTAATAAAATTAGTATTTTTAGAATCATCTCATCAAATCTATCAAATAAGATCTATATTGACTATGAAATTCTTAAAAAAAATAAAAATTTATTACCGTTAAAATTGATGTAAACAGTAAGAGAGAGTAACATGTTACTTTGACAATATTATCTAAATAAAAAAAAGGGTAAATTACACTGACACTCCCTGAGGTTTATATTTATTACAGTTCTCCCTCTTACCTTTTGAAAATTACATCTCCCCCCTGAGGTTTAAAGTTTCATTATAGATTCCTCCTGAGCAATTTAATTTTTTTAAATACCAATTTTGCCCTCACTAGGTAAATTACATTGACACCACTCACATTTTAGAAATTACAATCCACTCCCTAAGGTTTAAACTAGCATTACCAATTGCCCCTCGGTCGGAAAAAAAAAAATAATTAAAAAAAATTATTTGAAAAAAAAAAATTGTTAGTAAAATTTTTAAATTTTTGTTTAAAAACTAACCTAAACTCATTTTTTGAATTTACATTTTTTCCTCAAATTTACAAACTGAGACAACCATTTATAAACCAAAAAAATTATCAAACAAGTTTTTATGACAGTTTTTAAAATTTTTGTAAATATAAATTGAAAACTGAAAATGAAATAGTTATCAAGCAGGCTTCAGATGGTAAAAATGTCACAAAATTAACAAATAATTAAATAAGTTACTAACGCAAGAAATGACTTATCAAAAGATTCTTAGGCTATGTATGGTTTGATTTTTAGAATTTTTTTTTAAAAATTAAAAATTAATTTGGTTAAGAAAAATAAAAAATAATTATCATTTTTATATAATTTTTATCTTTCGAGTGGTTAGAAATAATTTTTTATAAATTAAATTGAAACAGCCATACGTATGTATATAACCTGCCCAAAAATTAAAATGATAATTATTTTTTACCCTTAAATGATAATTATTTTTTATTTTTTATTTCTTAACCAAATCAATTTTTAATTTTTTTAAAAAAAAAATTTAAAATCAAACCATACATAGCCTAAAATTTTTTTGATAAGTCATTTCTTACGTTGGTAACTTATTTAATTATTTGTTAATTTTACGACGTTTTTAGCATCTGAAGCCTGTTTGATAACCATTTCGTTTTCAGTTTTCAATTTATATTTACAAAAATTTTAAAAACTGTCATAAAAACTTGTTTGATAATTTTTTCGGTTTATAAATGGTTGTTTCAGTTTGTAAATTTGAGGAAAAAACGTAAATTCAAAAAATAAGCTTACGTTGGTTTTTAAACAGAAATTTAAAAATTTTACTAACAAAAAAAAAATTAATTAATTTTTTTTCAATGAATTTTTTTTCCAACTAATACTAATCGAGGGGGCAATTAGTAATGCTACTTTAAACCTTAGGGAGGGGATTATAATTTCTAAAATGTAAGGGGTGTCAATGTAATTTACCCAATGAAGGCAAAATTGATATTTAAAAAAATTAAATTGCTGAGGGGGGAATTTGTTATGAAACTTCAAACCTCAAGGGGAGAGATGCAATTTTCAAAAGGTAAGGAGGGAACTGTAATAAATATAAATCTCAGGGGATGTCAGTGTAATTTACCAAAAAAAATTACTTTGGATAACTTAAGTGGAGAGAAATTAGGAGAAATGGAGAGAAACTCATTTCTCTTATAACCTTCATTTTCAATCTTTCCAAAAGTAGAGAGATTGGAAGAGAAAAGAAACCAACAGATTCTTATATTTTCATAATACCAATTATGTCCATGTAAAAATAAAAGGAATAAAATGATTGACACCCATGTCCTCAAGGGCTTTTCATATCCAGCAAAAGGTTATTTTGGTAATATGACATAAAAAAGTTTCTTTTTTTTTCTCTTATGAAATTTAACCAAACAAGAACGAGAAAAATCATAATTATTTCTTCTTCTTTTTTATTTCTTACTTATCTAAATAAGAATGTGGGAAATCACAATAATTTCTTTTCTTTTCATTTCTCTTACAAGTTAAGTAATCATTTCTTTTCTTTTCTTTTCTTTTCTCTCTTAGATTCCCAAACATAGTAGGTAATTTATGAAGCAAAATAAATTGGACGGTCTTTTTCACCAAATAAGGATCCAATGGAAGAGTTTTGGTTAAATTTCCCAATTAAATTTCAACTATCAAAAAAAAAAAAAATTACTCTTAAAATCACTGTAGGAAAACTCATTTTGGAGGATCCAGACTATGGCCCCGTTTGGTGTAGCTGTTAAAACAGCTTATAGATTATAGCTTAACAGATTATAGATTATGACTTTAATTAGAAGTTACTAATCTGTTTGGTGTAACTGTTGAATTATAGATTTAAGTTGCTGAGTAATATTTGTTAAATAAGCTGTGAAATAGCTTTTTTAATTAATTTTTATTTTTTATTTGTCTACATTTCTCATAAAAAATAATAATAATAATCTATAGTCTATTTGAGTCTTTTTCTATTTTTAAAAAAATAAAAAATAAAAAAAATTAAGAGTATAATCATAAATTAACATGTCCACAGCAGAAGCTGATAATCAGAAGTAAAGGGTGAGCAGCTTCTCAGAATCAGTTTTTTTGAGTTAAAATAAGCTGTTAAAATCAGAAGCTGTTTGAAATAAGTTTAACCAAACAGTCCAAAATAACTTTTTCAAAGCTAAAAGCCATAAATTGACTCTGAAAAGCTGAAACAAACACCCCTATGTTGTTTTGCGTATATTAAGTAACTAACAAACTATCCTACAAACTTGAAACAGTTTTAGAAAATCAAATCATTTCAACCATGTACATCAACCTACTTTTGTTTTAATTTGGGTATATATAAACTCACAACAGCAGTTGTAAAACCACCAATTTTTTTTTTACACTCTAATCATGCCATCTAATACAAAGTCTTATGAATAAAATCCGAATACGCACAATGACCTATAAATCAAGAGTATCGGTTAAGCCCGAATGCTATGAGAGTTAAATATGAGGCGTTACCCTAAAGTTGAACTCCCATGGGAAAAAAAAAAAAAAGAGAGAATGAACAGCCGATATATCAAGAATGGAAAATAATACAATTTGCTGTGAAATAGCTTTTTTAATTAATTTTTATTTTTTATTTGTCTACATTTCTCATAAAAAATAATAATAATAATCTATAGTCTATTTGAGTCTTTTTATATTTTTAAAAAAATAAAAAAAAAAAAAATTAAGAGTATAATCATAAATTAACATGTCCACAGCAGAAGCTGATAATCAGAAGTAAGGGGTGAGCAGCTTCTCAGAATCAGTTTTTTTGAGTTAAAATAAGCTGTTAAAATCAGAAGCTGTTTGAAATAAGTTTAACCAAACAGTCCAAAATAACTTTTTCAAAGCTAAAAGCCATAAGTTGACTCTGAAAAGCTGAAACAAACACCCCTATGTTGTTTTGCGTATATTAAAGTAACTAACAAACTATCCTACAAACTTGAAACAGTTTTAGAAAATCAAATCATTTCAACCATGTACATCAACCTACTTTTGTTTTAATTTGGGTATATATAAACTCACAACAGCAGTTGTAAAACCACCAATTTTTTTTTTACACTCTAATCATGCCATCTAATACAAAGTCTTATGAATAAAATCCGAATATGCACAATGACCTATAAATCAAGAGTATCGGTTAAGTCCGAATGCTATGAGAGTTAAATATGAGTCGTTACCCTAAAGTTGAACTCCCATGGAAAAAAAAAAATGAGAGAATGAACAGCCGATATATCAAGAATGGAAAATGATACAATTTGAGATGTCAAGAAAAACCAACTTGATTACTCACGAGTCTGACAGAGATAAAACATAAAAGTGCAGTACTATAGGATTTAAAGAAGTTATTGCATCTAGTACTACCAAAATGAGCACAAGTTCAAGACCATGGTGATTGAACCAAAATAGGAGGCTTTGAATGAACTTGGCGAGACAATGGATGTTCTTGAATGTCATATGTTTAACTTTGTCCAATAATAGAAAATGAATGTCCATGAAACAACTACAATAAAACCAAACATCTGCCTACTGATATATGTTTGGACTGTTCAGCAAAATCTCACATAAAAGCATAAGTGTGCCATCACCTCAATAACTAGCTTATGAGGTCAGACTTCTATCCAAGATCGCATAACATTATATCAGAGTTGGAATTCATAGGGTTGGCCTACAAACCCTGCATGCGGTAGGTATTGTTGAGTGAGCTTGTTACACGAGAGGGAGGGTGTGAAACAAAGTGCCACATTGCTTGCATACGGAGGTGATGTGCAGTATATAAGCATGAGCGCACCCAAGATGTTACATAACATGGACAACATCAACATTTTGGGACTACTAGCCTTCGAGGGCAAAACTAGGTCCAACTTTTTTCTCTAAAAAGATTAGCTCTTTCACTCTAAATGCTAATAAATTATGCCGAGTGTTTTTATAGCTACACTTTAGGGTTGGCTGGTTGGTTATCAATCAAAAAAGAAAAAACAACAACAGCATACGAAGCTCCCAATGCCTCTGGGATTTGGGGACAATCAGATGTACAAAGCCTTGCCCCATTTGCAGATAGGCTATTTCTGTGTTTCAAGAGATGCAAAGTCACAAAAAAGGCCGTTTGGATCAACACCATGCTGCATACTTATTCCTTTATTATTAACCATAAAACTATCCCATCCAAAGACACATGCTTCCATACTTGGGTCATATGCAGTTGGAAGACATGTTCAAGTAGGCATATATAGGAAAGGAATAGGTCTGTGATATTGCAAATCAACATACAACTCTTTATCTCTTTTTTCTTCTCTGTTATAGATTAGCAGAACAGTTTACTTGATTTAGTACTGAAGAGTTAACTTAAAAAAGATAGTGGCACTTCCACACGTAAGAAGATAGTTAAATATAGTATCCGGAGTTCTTCAATCGCATGAGCCCTCATGCTCCCAGATGTCCGCTAAAAATTCTACCATTTCCTGTCAGTAAGAACAGAAAAAATTGTTAGGGTTTAGGTTTTAAAGTTTAGCAACAATCTGTAGTTAAAAATACAGTGAAATTTCAGTGTTCAACAAAGTGAAATTTTCAAATTGAGAGCTCCAAACTGCATAAGCCAACTTACAGAGAGTGGGATTGGTTGGGTGAAACGTTTGTTAGTACTAAGCAAGCTCTCATAAGTAGCATTCCAACTGCGAAAACACAATCAGTTAGTAACTGGAAGAGAAACACGTGCTAGACAGCAAAAAGTATGAAAAGAAAGTAAAGATCACAAGCAATAAAGACTTTGATAAATGGTCAAATAATGAAATCTGGAAGGTATAATGTTTTCCTTTTGCAAAGGGCTCCGCACATAAGATCACTGTTCTAAATTGTTTATTCTAGAATTTAGTTCACATGATTTCTACACAGAAGTAGGACTACTCCAAATTATGAATCTTTCAATGGAAACATAAAAAACCATGATGCTGACCTCAATCTAGGTTCACGGACTTGTCCATGGTTCTTAGACCTTTTATTTCCAATCCACTGAAGCCTGGTCTGATACCAGAGAAGAAGGCCTGCAAAACAAAAACAAAAACAAAAAACCACCAAGGTTACACCACATGCTTCTAGAGAACATGACCAAGAAAACGTTTTATTAAAAAAAAATATATTAAACAACAGTTAAACACTATGGTGCATAGTACTACGATAAGCTAAAAAGTATAGACATTTCTAAGAGGGTAATGTCTCGCGTCGGACACCAACACGACACGACACTTGTCGAACGCTTCCCAACACTTAGACATGTCTAACACACATTACAAGTCAGAATAAAATAACTTGGAACCCAATGATAAAACAAAAATAATGTACATTTATACCCATTCTCCTCTTTCAAATTTTAAAAATTATAATCTGACTTAAAATACTTATATATTGACACATATAAATTATTTCTTATTATATATGACACACATTAAATACATAAAATTATATATTTTGCTGTGTCCTAAGTTTTTTTTTTTTTTTTTTTTAAATTTTCGTGTCCATGTTTCAAAGACGACAAACCAAGATGCCACATGAGCAGCAGACTTAAGCCCACTATTGCATGGACAGCATGTACAAAAGGAAGATTATAGATTGATGAATGGTTGGATATGAAAACCACTCTTTTTTCAAAAACTTAATAGAAGAAAATTGTGTTAAATAAAATTAAACTTGCCATGATTTACGAATTCAGAATGGTTGCTAGAGATGCCAGTGCCACTACTCAGGCTCTCGTTTGACACGCTGATAGATGAGATGCTTCTCTGAGAATGAACAGCGTTATTGTCCATCTCATATGTGCTGGTGCTCCAAAAATCTTCATATGCACTGCTTTTCCTCACCCTCTGCCCAATTCTGAGCTCCTTTGCTGGCGCATCCACAGCAATAACTGGTGTGGGTTTGGAATAGCATCCCATACAACCTCTGCTCTGTTACAATTCATAAGTATCCACATATACAACAAATTACCAACAACAAGGCAAAACCAGGTTTGCAGCCAGAAAGCTATGTTACATGGACTCTATTTCCCCAAAGTACCCATGTCCACCAAATAGGACAAGGGTAAGGGTGTGGGATATGCGTTCGACACTCGTACCTAATTTTAGGGCTGAGCAAGAAATCCGTGAAATCCGTAATCCGATCCAGTCCAGTCCGATAGGTTTGGATTGGTTCTTTGAATCCGTGGTTTGGTTCCGGATTGAAGAATTAAAAATCCGTAGTTCACGGATTGGTTCCGGATTGAACCCCACTGTTCCGGATTGGAACCGATCCGAACCGTATACAAATAGTCTATATTTTTATTATACATCCTCCCTCATAGTATCTTCTCTTATTCCATATAAAACCTAAACTCAAACCTAAACCCACATAATATCTTCTTTTATTACTTTTATTTGTTAGTTTTTAGTTTTAATATGTAATGATCTAAATACTTATGGCGAAACCAGTTTTCTTATGGTTGTTTAAATTCTAAAATAATATGTCGCTATTATAGAAAGACATGTTGCTATTGTGGCACTAATATAGCGCTATGTTTATATTTTTATGAAATTAAAGTGTTATATATATATTTTTTTATTATTTAATTATGCGAATCCGTGGTTCTAAACCGATCCAATCCGTATTTAAATGGATTGGTTCGGATTGGTTCCATAATTTAAACGAATTGGATTGGTTCCAATTTTTTAGGAACTGTAGATAACGGATTGGTCCTGATTTTACCCAAATCCGGTCCAATCCGGACCATGCTCACCCCTGCCTAATTTGGACACTCAGATCTCAACTGTTACAATGTTTCAAGAATAAGAAAGTCAAATTTTCTAAAAAAGAAACACTTATAGCCTCTAACAGAGATGACATATAGAAATTCTATATTTTTCGTAAATTCTATTTAATTTCAATTACATTTCTACATAGTTTATAACACTTCATCAAAGACTATTATATAATATGTAACATATAGAAGTGTTCATAACGAGTCCCCATGCCCATATCCTACTTTTGGATACATATCCCAATATCTTAAAATTTAAGTTTATGAAGGTCTGATACTTGGACAAGTACCCGTACCCGAGTCCATGTAACATAGGTCTAATAAGGTTGACATAATCATTTTCCAACAAAAATCTCAAAATTCTTCTGAACTGTATACCACAGAGGGGCATGTATGATGTAGCAATACTCCAAAAAAAAATTATAGCAAGCAGGTCTCGTTGGAGATATTGTAGCAAAACAATTATAATAATGGTCATCAATTTGATTTCAATTCATAAGTCCAAGACTCAGGCGTAGAAACAAATCATAAAGAGGTTTACTGAAGCAAATATGACAAGCAGAAGATACAGCCCAAAGAAGGTTCAAAACAAGCATCCACATAAATAAATAAATAAATAATGATTTCTAAATATCACATCATAAAATATAAAATGAATTTAACGGACAAGGGATTGGACATCCATATTCTATGATTTATCATACCTGATATTAGGCCATTGGATATCCAACACTTGAATTTCTCAGCCAGCTGACATATATATTTTTTTTCTTATTTATTTATTTATTTTATGCATACGACAAATTAAGTGCTTCCCTTGGCATACATGGAACAGGCTACTGAGAATCAGGAGTCAAACAAACACCCCCAACTGACCTCTTTCTACTCTCCTATAGCTTCCATCATTAAGATAGTTTCATCCATCAATGGCTCAAACTATAACAGAATACTGTTATGGTTTGCCATGCTCAGCCACTTGGGTTGTGTTCTTCTTTAGAAATTATACACAATTATGTGCATTGAAGAAAATATATTCAAATTATTGGGTTTCCGAACAAATCAAAATCTAAGATCAATTAAATCTAACAACTCTCAGATCACCAATTTAACAACTCTCAGATCACCAATTGAATTTGAAGGAGGTGAAATGGAGTAGTGAATGGAAGTACATACCCCATGCAAGCGACGAAGTGATCGATCGAATCGAATCAGTGAATAAAGCGTGTATAATCATCAGTCTTCTCGTCCACCTTAACTAACAAAGGCCGTAAAATCGACACATCGAATCTCCAATACCTTCAACAAAGAGAAGGGTATGGAAAAGCTGAGAAAATGGATGAGAATCAAATGATTTGAGATCTGTCTAGCGAAAACCAAGTTCCCAAGGTTCAGCGCTCTCTCTCTCTCTCTCTCTCTCTCTCTCTCTGAGCTTTCTCTCTCTTCCGCCGCCACTTCACCTCAGTGGTTTGCTTCCAAAAGTGGTGTGTGTGTGTGTGTGTGTGTGTGTGATATTGTTATTGGCTCATAACTGATAAGTATTTCTAGTTTTTTACTTTTTGGTTGGCACAGGCCATGCACCTGTTTCCTTCATTCACTTATTATTATGCTCTCCGTTTTAAAATATTAATCTCAAATTTTAATTTTTATTATTTCAAAATATTAATTTTTTTTCAAAAATTAATAAATAAAACAATATGAATTTATTATTTGATCTTTCTTTTAAATTTATTAATAACACAAAAAGTATAATTATGATAATTAGTATTTTCAAAAAAATATTATTAAGGATAATTTTAAAAAATTAATATTTTTAAAATATAATAATTATACTATAAAAAAAAAGTTGAATTCCTAAAAAGGAACTATTATTTTAGAACAAATGGAGTTGTATTTATCAAATGTATTTTTTATTAGTTATTATTAAAATAGATAATGATATACAAACTCAATTTTTAAATTTACATAGGCCTGGTTTGAGAATTTGGTTATTTTAGTTAATTTTTTTTAACTATTTGATTATTTTAGTCTGGTTAAAAAATTTGTGTTTGAGATGATAATTGAATTTTTTTTGTAGTTGATTTCATAGTAGTGAAAAAAAGTGAAATGATTATAATTTAGGTAAGACATTTTGTGTTATTGACTATTTTAACTTATTTTATTTTTATACGCTATTTTAGCCAAAAAAGTAAATATATTATTGACTTTTTTTTGTAGTTGATTAGATAGTTATTAAAGAAAAAATGAAATAATTATAATTTAAATGTGACATTTTATATTATTGACTATTTTAACCTATTTTATTTTTATTGACTATTTTAGCGCAAAAAAAAAAAAAAAAAGCCATATTTAGGCCTTAATGTCAAATTTTTTGTGTGTTTTTTTTTTTTTTGAACAAGGCAAAGCTTTTTTTTGGTTTGATTTTTTAAAATTATTTTTATTTTATGTTTTTTATTTTAGTAAATTTTTTATTATTATATATTTTAGTTAATTTCATATTTTAATTAATTAAATTAACTAAAAATAAATGAAAACCTGACTAAAAACACATACATGTTTTGTTCGGATTTTGTTATACTTTTATCCCTTTTTTTATATTTTAATTAATTTTTTTTAACTTTTTAAAAGCATCTAAATAAGTTGTGCCTATTAAAAATTACAACAAAAAAAAGGGGTAAAATATGAAGAAAAAAAAAATCACTAGAAGGTAAATAAAAATTCATCTAAAAATAATTTTTTAAAAAAGTAATGATATATAAATAATAAAAAAAATCATACAAAATTTTCATTTTCTAATGAAATAACTTATTATAAACCTTTCACTTCAAAACAAAATATAATTATAGATGAATTTATTTATAGTAATGGCAATATCACATCATTCTTGTCTAATTTTTTGTATGAATTTTGTGTATAAATAGAATTTTCTTTTTTAAAAATTCAAACCAAATTTTTTGTAGATGTGATGTCAAAAAACTATAGTTTGACATGTTATTATAATATAAAAAATATCAAATTTTGACATTGTGTAAATATTATTACGATACATCCAACAAGTCATTGTTCATTTCTATTTGTTGAATATTTTTCAGACCAAGACCATTGTGTATTAAAATCTTGTTTTGGTTTGGGTGAGCAGCACTGGCACAAATGAGTCAAATTTTGCGTTAAACTTGAAAAGAGAAGTTTAAGTGACTTTTATTGGTTTATTGGTTTTTTTTTTTTTTTTTTAAAAAAACGTATAAAAAAAATAAAGAGATGATGTGACCAATCAATAAGCTAACTTTTTTCCTAATTGCCGAAATACGCCTTAGTCAAGCAGTAAAAAAAATTACTACAAATTCAGTGAGAACATCATCAACCTGGATTGACCTACCTATACACAACAAAAACTAAATTAAATACAAAGAGTCATACAAAGAGCTTAATGTGCACCAATCCTCGTCTGTCATCTATGTAAAGACTTGACTCTTTGCAATTGGCGAATGGAAAAACATTCCAACCATCCCACAATTCATAAAACATTCCAACCAGAAAGACTAATACATAACTAGACCTGCCAAATGTTTTATTCATCCATTTCAAAAGCCAGACACAGCAATCCTAATGGCCCTAGCAAAATGAATATTGTAGACTATTTTGAATTCTAAATTACGATTGTTTTTTAATCCCAAAACAAAGAAAGAAAGGTCTAACCAAAATCAAACAATTTCAACAAGACTAGACAGCAATGAAAATAAAGATTGGTTTCCATACATGCAACATACGCAAATGTTTTTCCAGTATTCTGCTTCCTTTTTACTGTAAGGTATTCTCCCCACCGGCGAAGGTAGTCAAAAGTACATAATCATGAGACAGAGAATTAGTAAAGCACTAATGCAATTCAAGGAGCTAAAAATAGGTAGTGCTGTCTGTTGACCCGTGATTCCACATTTCTGCATTATCTTCTACTGCTTACTGTCCTGATTGGATAAAAGAGAAGCAAGACCCATTCTCCATCCAAACATAACAGAAGGTTCATTCTTTTTTGGAATAAGAGAAGGCACACCAGCTCTCAAGCTGTGAGCGAGCGAAGTCTCCTGATTGGCATTTGTCTCCGAGGATCTGCACAAATTACCAGCATATACACAGACCTTACATAAAAATAAAAATGAGAAGTAAGCACATTGCTTAAGCAAGAGAGTGTTTGTGTTGCCAAAATAACTATTGTAAGAGAATCATTTCAGCATACGCACCAGCCGTTCAATTTGTCGAACAGATGATAAGGTGGCTTCCTCCAGATGAAAATAATACTATTTTTTTTTTTTTTTAATCAAAATCAGGGAAATTGTCTGTATGCATAATTTGAAACCAAAAGACACTATTTCGAATGAGACAATATATAACGGATTAGAGAGAGAGAGGTCCATAAACATAAACAGAATTCTGCAATTCAAGAATTGCAATCAGCACAAAATTTGGGAATGATGACTCCACAAAATTTTGGGGAAGAAGCTAATAAAATCACAATAATTGAATTGACCAGAAAAATAAAGTTTCAAGCAGCACAAGTAAATTGAGGAAACAACATACTGACAACATGCAGACATTAAACAAGGAATCCGTATTGTTCCCAATTGAGAAGCTAGAACGCATAAAATAAAGAACAATATGGTAGATGTAGACTCAAGCATTATATGATAAATGAACTCCTCAACATATGAGATAAATTGCATCTTTTTGCAACTATATGCATCAATTAACTAGCTAAGATTTAACTACTATGGATGATAACACTACCGACACCAATTGCCAACATGGACCATGAGATAAAGCTCAATGGCAATGACAACGCCTGCTAACCAATGCAAAAAACCTATAAATAGTGGGCACAATATCAGTACCATGCATACTATTACTAAAGCTAGGTATTACCTAGACGCCTTGATGACAATGACTTGATGATGAATACCACTCGAGCAACTCCAAAAGAGAATCAAAGAGAAAAATAGTTTAACTCTCTCAAGATGGAAGCTTATGGTACTACATAATAGGGTATGCCAAAACTTCAAAGGTGAAGGCCATTTTGTCAATACAAACTAACACGTTTGTGTGAGCAGGCAGACACTTGCAACCATGAACAACTTACAAAGAGAAAAGAAAAATAAAGAGACAGCATCAGAATACATACATCAGAGGCAGTGGGCCTTCATATGCAAATGTTGACATGCCTTGTCGTTGTTTGTGCTTGGGATTGGCTGTGCATAGTACATATACACGCCCACGACGTTTAACTGTCCTACAAAACTCGCACATCTTCTTCACTGATGAACGCACCTTCATGGCTAATCACTAATGATGATGGAAGTAAAGCACACATGAGACAGTTTATCCAATAACCAAAGGTGAAACAGAAAGCAGTTTCAGCAAGAGCAAAAAGAAAGTCCTTGGCAATTGTGTGCATCAATAGTTTATATAAGGGTAAATGACCACCCCTCTTGAGGTTTAACTAAATTACAGATTCTCCTGAGGTTTCAGAAATTACATTCCGTCCCACCGCAATTAACGCCGTTAACGAAGATAGTAAATTGACTAAAATGCCCTTTGACTGGTACATCATGTCAAGTCAGTACTTGTAGAAGGGTTGTACCGTATTGCAATTCATATAGGTTTAACAATTTCATAAGCTTCACTTTCTCCATTTCTTCAACTGAGAGAGAGATGGAAGAGGCAATGCAAAGGGGAAAGTGAGGGTATCGTGGTTTATCGTAGGATGCGTAGATCTAAAAGAAGAAGAGATAACGCAAAGAAGTTTAGATCGTTGATTGAAGAAAAAACTGAAATTTGTATGTCTATATTGCTTTGAAACACTGTAAGTGATCCATTTTTACTCTCTCATATTGAAATTTGAGAGTTTAGGATTCTTTGTTCATGATTTTTTTTATAAAATTTGTTTTAGGATTATTTGCTTATGAAATTTTGTAAGTGAAATTCGTTTTGGGATTTGTCTTTAATCGATTTTTTTGGGTCTGTATTTTACCCTGTTAAAAAAAAGGGGGGTTTAAAGGTTTGTTTTCAATCTATTTTAGGGTTTTTTTGGGTTTCTTTCTACCTCTTTTTTAATTAAAATTTTGGGGTTATAGGGTTTGTTTTCAATTAGTATTTTAGGGAATTTTTTTTTTTATTATTTGTTTTCTACTCTTTCTTTTACTAAAATTTTGGGTCTATTTCAGTTAGTATTTTTGGAAATTTATTTGGTTTGTTTTCTACTCTTTCTTTTTTTTAAATTTGGGTTTCAATCAGTATCTTAGGTGGTTTTTTTGGGTTTATTTTCTACTCTTTTATTTACTAAAATTTTGATGTTGTAATGTAAGTTTGTTGTGCAGATGCCTTCTCATAGTCATGAATTTTGTGATTAATTTTTTGTATTTAGGACAATTGTTGATCCCATGCTTCATGACATAGTAGTTCACTTTAATGGTTCTATGAGTCACATTTTGAATGTTAATCCTTACAAGTATAACTACATGCAATTGTTGGCTGATGCTTCTGAAGCTACACTCACTAATGTACCTGGGAATTTTGGTGTGGGATTAAATTTGTACTTTACAAATACACACACTAAGAGTAAGATGGAGGTTAAATCTGATCAGGATGTCATTGAAATGTTTAGTTCAAATTCTGGTACTACAGTGATTAATATTTTTCTGGAACTTAATCAACTTTTACCTTCATTTGTCGTAACTGATACTCCTACACTAGTGGAGAGGGACACGTGAGTGGTAGTGGCACAAGTACGAAAGGTGGTGTGGATAGTAACATTGGAAATAGATCGGTAGTAGTTAATGATTTATTTAGCAATGTGAATGACTACAATATGTTGATTGGACTGAGTTGGGGGATTTTGAATTTAGTAAAGTAGATGCTAATGAAGAAAATGCTTATATCATTAGTGATGAGGATGATGAGGATGATGAGGACACTTCAGATAATGATGAGGGTAGTAATGGGTCAGATGAACCAATTGAGGCTAATGATGAGTGGATATCAAACTATGAATCTGATGATATAGGAGGGAAATATTCTACTGATGAAGAAGATGTGCAAGGTGTTAATATTGACATATATATGAGGGGGAAAATGTTTGAAATAAAGGAAGGGGAGAAAATAACATTGGAGAAGGGAATGATATTTGATGATGTGAATCATTTCAGGACTGTCCTCCAAGAATTTGCAATTGAAAGAGGTTTTAAATTGATTAAAATAAAAAACGACAAGAAAAGAGTGACTTGCATATGTGCTTCCTCAATGTGTGAATGGAGAATTCATGCTTCTCCATTATCTGATGGGGTGACATATAAGATTAAGACATTGGGCACTGACCACACATGCATTAGAGTAGAAAGGAATACTGAAGCAGCAGCATCTTGGATTGCTACGAAGTTTGAAAAAACTCTTAGAGGGAATCCTGGGATCACTTTAGAGGCAATGCATGATGAAATAGCTGCAAATTATGGATTGGAGACTACAAGTATGCAACTGTACGGAGGAATTGAGGGTAATCATGCAAAGGCTTACACCAAACTTCCAATGTATGCTGCACAAGTGTTGAGGACCAATCCTGGTAGTTTGGTCAAAGTTGAAAGGGAAAGAAAGCCACCATCTAAGCCAAACTTACCCCCTCCCTTACCAACATTCAAAAGAATTTTTCTGTCATTTGCAGCCATACAACATGGCTTTAAAGAAGGTTGCAAACCTTTCATAGTTGTGGATGGGTTTCATTTGAAGGTACCATTTTGGGGGGGGGCATATCGTTAGCTGCAGTTGGTCTTGACGGAAATAATGGTCTTCATCGTATTGCAATTGCTGTGGTGGAGAGTGAATGTAAGGATAGTTGGGCCTTTTTCCTTTACCACTTGAACACCATTTTCGGTAATGGCCCCCAAAACATGCCATTGACAATCATGTCTGATGGTCAAAAGGGCATTGAGTCAGCCATGAGACAAGTAATACCCCAAGCAACTCATAGGAGGTGCTGTAGACACATTTTCAGCAACTTGAAGGGCAAATTCCCTGGTTTAAAGATAAAAAGAGCATTTTGGGCTGCAGCTAAAGCTTACAATGTCAAGGATTTTAACATTGCAATGGGACAAATGTTGGAGTTATCTTCTGAAGCACATAGCTGGCTTTCTAAATTTCCAGTTGAAATATGGGCAAGACACACATTTGATCATAGAGTGAAGAGTGAACATGTTACTAGCAACATGGTGGAGCCATTTAATAATTGGATTGGTAATGTTAGGGGTAAACCTATCTTGACATTGTTGGAAAACATTAGATTGGAGCAGATAAACAAGTTACATAAGAGGTTTGAAAAGGCAGCTTCATGGCAATCTTTAGTAACCCTTAACATTAAGAAGAAATTGGATTAAGTGGTTCTTCAGTCTAGGCTTTGTAAAGTGACTTTTACAGGACAAGAGAAGTATCAAGTGGTTGAAGGTGTGGTGTCTTATATTGTGAACCTACAAAGAAGGTCATGCTGTTGCAGGATATGGGACATAAATGGAGTCCCTTGCAAGCATGCAACAGCTTGCATTACTCATAAGAGGATGAACTTGGAGACCTATTGTAACACAATGTACTACAAACACATTTATTTTAAGGCATATGGGGAAATTATACATCCAATCCATGATGAGAGTTTATGGGGTCCAGTCCTTGGAGATGAGTTGAAGCCTCCACCTCTTAAGAGGATGCCTGGAAGACCAAGAAAAAGTAGGAGAAGAGAAATTGATGAGGCTGCACCATCAAAAAGATCATGCACTGTGAGGTGCATCATTTGCAAAGAGATTGGGCACAATAAGAGGACATGCCAGAGGGCACCTATTAGGGATAGGGAAATGGGCACAAATGAGTCTGCTCAGAGGGGAATTGGTACTATTGTTAAAAGGAGCACTATTGGAAGGTCCACAGCTACTGAGAGGAGCACTGGTGGTGTAAGTGTACATGACAAATGATTGTGTTATTTTATTTTATTTTTCCACATGGAATTTGAGGCCAACTAATCCAATTCATTTTTTAGGATCAAGGACAAGATAGGGAGCTTCCAACTCAGTGGAGCATGACTTGAACCATAGGTACGCATGTAATTGCATCATGCATAACCCTTAAAATATATTCATTTGTGTTTATTAATTTGTTGTTCTTTGTTTTTTTATTTTTCAGGTGATGCTTTTTGTATAGGGGATGCTGGAAGGAATTAAAGACTAGGGTATACTTTTTTTGTGTAATTAGTGGGTATACTTTTCTAACAATGTCTTCATATTAGTACATATCGGAAGGCATGCATCCTTGCTCACCATAGGTTTTTGAATTGGGTGGGCTACTGCTCTTTTATTGACTTGCAAAGTTTTTGATGGACAAGAATTTGTAACTAAGATATAGTATTGCAAGGTTTATTTTGGTGGACACGAATATGCAACTAAGTTAATATTCCAGACTCGTGTATATGAATTTCTAAGCTAATATTTCAATTTCAAGCTGTTTGAGTGCTCTTTCTTCATTCCTTCCATGTTGAAGAGGATTCCATGGTACTTATTTATTACCCAAAAAATAACTATTCACCCAAAAAAAACTCAAAAAATAACAAATTAACTCAATAAATTGTGAATACAAAATTAATTAATTTAATAATTTATGAAATGCAAAATTAAAATGAAAAAATACTTATCAGATGGTAAAAATGTCGTAAAATTAGCAAATAATTAAAAAAGTTACCAACGTAAGACATGACTTATCAAAAGATTCTTAGGCTGTGTTTGGTTTGATTTTTAGAAATTTTTTAAAAAATTAAAAGTTAATTTGGTTAAGAAATAAAAATTAAAAATTAAAAATTAATTATCATTTTTATATAATTTTATCTTTCGAGTGGTTAGAAATAATTTTTTACAAATTAAATATATTTCTTCATATTTATTTTTATTAAATTATTTTTTTTTAAAAGTTTGATTTTTTTTTTTTTTTTTTTAACAACAAACCAAAGGGATTTTAGGTTAAATCAGGTTGCTTGGTTGTATTCAAAAAAAAAAAAAGAAAAAAGGGTTGTTTGGTGCTTTGAAAGGTCCCAGGCACAATATCGTCCATCAATATATATTTTGGTGATGTCAGCATGCTTCTTTAACAATTTAGTTCATGGCAGGGGTCAAATTGTTAAGAGAATATAAACCTCAGGGAGGAGCAAGATGTAATTTTCAAAACCTCAGGGGAGAATCTGTAATTTAGCTAAAATTCAAGGGAGGTGTAGGTAATTTGCCTTTTATATAATGGTAGTTCATTAATTTCATATATTAAAGGATTGCTCGTTTGGTTACTGATTATGTAAATTTCCACTCATGGTAAGGACTATTTGAGCCATTCTACGAGCTTAGAAAGTTACATTTGCTGGAAATGACTATTTTTAGGAATCTAAATATTATATAGTTTCTATATGGGTATGGCATTTTATAGTCTAGGAGCTCTTCCTTGACTCTGGTTATTAGTCTTTTCTTGAATTATCATTCAGCTCTTTTAGGAGCTTAGAAAAAATCAATTTCAATGTGATGCAAGTTCAATGTGCTACATAACACACGCACATATATATATATACGAATTGGATCCCTAACTCTAAAACAAGATACAAGTTTTCTGAATGGTTTTCTTGGTTTAACTACAATAGTGGAACCCTAAACCCCCTCTCTCTCTCCAATCACCAAATCTGAACAAGGCTGAAATCATGGAAAACCTTTAACGATCACCTTTTCCACGAATCAGCCAAAACTGAATTACCTAACACATACTGTGCCAATATCGTAACACTGCAACTACCTGCTCATAAGCTGGTACTTGAGAATTTCTACAGAGAATTGGAATCCTATTGCAGTTTATATCTCCTATTCTTATTTTTTCATTATTAATTTCCATCCTATTATGTGTAGAATGATTCTTGGCATGCTCGCCATAGTGCAGGTTGGAGCTTGTTATCATAAGTTGATGCCATGGTGCTATAAATGGAATTGACACCAGTATGGGACGCCACATTTGACAAAGAAAAAGAAGAGAATGGTCCAAGGATAGCAACTGATACACACATAACCACAAACCCAAGTTTGCACACAGTAAATAGCAAGATGTTTAGAATGTTGATAGATTCATGCAATCATTTTGCATAATTCCCATTTAGATAAAGCCAATTTAATGAGTTTGGAATTTGATAGGAAGATTCCTTCTTTTGGCTGGCCAAATCAAGGCCTTAGAGCTGCTAAGTGCAAGTTTGTCTGTATTGATAATTTTATTTTATTTTATTTTTTTTGGTGTCTTGATGAAATTGATCGCCCCATCTATAATTTTCATAGAATTCAAAAGTAGAAATTTACCATCTTGAAGAAACAATCAGGGAAAATGGCAGCCATATAAATTAATGTGTGTAAAACTAGGTGAAATATAGGCATATTTTATTCACATTTTATCTACCTTTCCCCTTTTCCTTTTCAAATTCTCCCACCAAATATAGCGTAAAATTAAAAATTTATATTTCAATAACTTTCAAAGATTTGGGGAGGGATTTAAAAAGGAAAAAAGAAAAAGGAAAAACTTACATTTCACCTAATTTCACACACCTACGCCTTTTTCATTCCCCTTTCCCTTTTCCTTTCTTTTTTCAAATCTCTCCTCAAATCCTTGAACCAAACAAAGCGGTTGTGTTTAGTTGAGAGATTTGGGAAGGAATTTGAAAAGAAAAAGAGAAAATTGTGTAAAATTAAATAAAATGTAAGTATATTTTATTCGTATTTCACCAACTTTTCATTTTTTCTTTTCAAATCATTTCTCAAATCTCTCAACCAAATACAGCATTAAGAAAACCAAACCAGTAACAAAAGAACTAGACATTAAAACGCTAACATTGTGTTTGGTTGGGAATTTGGAAAGGAATTTGAAAATATAAAAGAAAAAATAGATAAAATATAAATAAAATATATCTATATTTCACCTAATTTCACATATAATTTCCTTTTCCTTTCCATTTCCAAATCACTTCACACAATCACAAATCCCCCAAACAAACCCAAATACCAAACCCTAACCTAACTAATTTCAGAAAATTAGACCCAGTAAAATTCTAAACTTTTTAATCTATTCCCACTAGTGTGAACAAACCATTAAACCCTAGAAAATCGACTATACCAAATCAGCAGAAATGGCAGGAAAACTTACATCTCTGGATTGCAAATCCATATACATATACAAACAAATAAACATATTTATATATACATGTGTATATATATACTTATATACACATAATGAATGAGAGAGAAGTACCTGATTGATGAGGGAGAGAGAGAGACAGAGAGAGGGCACTTGCGGAGTGTTGCCGATTAGCCAAAATTGTGCAGTGTTTTTTTTAACGAAGCATGTTCATGGGCTGGGCTTGAAATGTCAAGGCCCATGAAACTTTAAAATGAGAGTCACTATTTATGGGCCTAACATAAAAATAACTAATTTAAGAAAATTAAAAGGAAAATGACCAGGCTGTGGCCCATGTATGAAGAGAGAGTCACACTGGCCCAGCCCGTAATTTATCCATATTTTTAGGTCTAACCCAAAACTATATGTTGGGGGTGTTTGGGAAGTTGCTATTTTCGTAAGATAAAATTTTTGTATTTGAAAAGATGATTAGATTTTTGTAGTTTGATGTGATGTTTATAAGAAAAAAAGTGAAATGATTATGGATTTGATGTGATATCTTTGTGTTATGAACTATTTTAGCATATTTTGTTGAGAGGGTAATTTTTGGGAAAGTGTTTGGGAAGTTGCTATTTTCGTAAGATAAAATTTTTGTATTTGAAAAGATGATTAGATTTTTGTAGTTTGATGTGATGTTTATAAGAAAAAAAGTGAAATGATTATGGATTTGATGTGATATCTTTGTGTTATGAACTATTTTAGCATATTTTGTCTTTTTATAAATTTTAGTTTAAAAGAACCTAAAAAATTTCTTGCCAAACACCCCCCATTGTCTTACTTTCAAACTAAAATTTGTTTTTGAGTTTTGTGTTGTTTTTGTAATTTTTTTATTTTAGTAATTTTTTTCATATTTTAATTATTTTTTATGCACCTAATTTGGATGTACCTAAAATGTAAAATATTTGAATAAATTCTAAAAATTAAAAGTACACTAAAAATAAATTATTTTTTTTTAAAAAAAAAAGTACATTTCTATGATTTTTTTTTTTTTTTTTTGTATGTAGTTCACAAATATTTTTTATTTTTAAGTGGTAAAAAAAATAAGGGCTCTTTTTTGATAAATCCCATTTATAACTGTTTTGTTCCATAAAACCCAAATTATTTCTGAATATTCCATTAGGTCCATTAATTGTAAAAGGACGAAATAACCCTCTCCGCCTCTCCCGCGGGTAACCGATTCTGCAAAACCCATTCCTATTCCGAATATTCGATCCACAAAATTTCCTAAACAAAAACTCAATCCACGAAACGATACTCACATCGCCTCCAGTAACCCTAAATTCCATCGCCTCACCAACGTCCTCGTCGTCCACCGTCGACCATCGACCCCAGATTCCTCTTCATCTCACCACTGCGAAGGTTCATATCAGAAGGAGGGTGCTTTGTCGTTCAAAAATTCATATCGTCCCATTGAGTTTATTTCATCCACTAAGTGTGATCCATACCCACCAACCATGACGAACAAAAGTAAAGAATTTCATTCCACCTTCTGTCTTTCAATCATAATGTCATCATCGATGTATACATCCACCTTCTGGTTTTCGGATTTGAATTTGTAAACATAGATGTTTTCGGAATTGATTTTGTAAAAATAGATGATGTGAACATTCACATTAGTATTGATTACTGGCTAAACTTATAGTAGTAGACACTGATGTGAATATTCACAGTAGTGTTTAATGATGTGAACATTCACATCAGTGTATAATGATGTGAATGTTCACATTACTGTCACTGTTGATATTGTTCGTTTTTTACGTCCACAGAACCCCCAAACTTCACTCAACAATGTGATGGAATGTGATGTAAATATTCACATTGTGACATCAATGGTGGACTTGTTTCTGTTGTTGGGTGTTGTTTGGTGCTGTTGGTTCCCCCCTATGATTTTTAGCAAATTATAACATAATGTGATCACTCATGTAAACATTCACATTGCCCTGTAACTGTTGTAGTTTTCAAAATTTATTTTGCACACATGGATGATGTGAACATTCACATTAGTGTTCATTACTGGGTAAACTTACAGTAGTAGACATTGATGTGAACATTTACATCATGTGAATGTTCACATTAATGTCAAAACCCCCAAACTTTACTCAACACTGTGATGCAATATGATGTAAATATTCACATTGCGACGTCAATGTCTAACTTGTTTGTGTTATTGGGTGTAGTTTGGTGCTGTTGGTTCCCCCCTTTGATTTTTAGCAAATTATAACATATTGTGATCACCCATGTAAACATTCACATTGCCTAGTAACTGTTGTCGTTTTCGAAATTTATTTTACATACATAGATGATGTGAACATTCACATTAGTGTTCATTACTGGGTAAACTTACAGTAGTAGACACTGATGTGAACATTTACATCACCATATTAATGTCAGAACCCCCAAACTTCACTCAACACTGTGATGCAATATGATGTCACATTGTGACATCAATGTCCAAGTTGTTAATGTTATTGGGTGTTGTTTGGCGTTGTTGGTTCCCCCCTTTGATTTTTAGCAAATTATAACATAATGTAATCACTCATGTAAACATTTACATTGCCCTGAAGTTAACCTTGAACAACAAACTGAAAGTCTGGGCTAACATGAACAAACTCAACAAGCAAAAAGTCCAAAATTTGCACAAGAACGGCGGTGATGAGTAAGTGATCTTACATAACCCTAACTTTTTTTTTTTTTTGCTCATGTTCAGTTCACATACATACTTAATAAATTAGATCATTTCATAAATGTGCAATGTTGACATTAACGTTTTCTGTAATCACAATGCACAGGTTGCTAGTGTGGCGAGGGGACTCAAAGACTAAAGATGTGTATTTTGATGACATCATACGCATCATCAAGGAAGAACCAATAACCAACAACGTATGGCAACTGTAAATGTGTACAAAACACACACACAAAGTGAAGACACTGCAAATAATGTACTGCCACCCCTCTAGTTCTGCAGGTGATAGATGCTTATGGTGAAATTCTACTTGAACTACAAGGGCTAGTCAACCCAAGTTTGGAGGATTCATCATTCATCTTTACAAGCACATGTTTGGTAACCACTAGACTTTAATTTTGATTATGTTTCAATAGATGTGAATGTTCATCTCAGCATTATATGCTTATATTGTTAACTTAAATAATAGGCAGATGTAAATGTTAACAACAACATAAAATGACCTTTGAGAAGATTCACATCGACAGATGTGAACATTAACATCATTCGCATTGAAGATTATATGCTTATTATGTTGTTAAACTTAAATGATACACACATGTGAACATTCACATCAGTAGTATCACTCACATTAACAGATGTGAATATTCACATCAGTAACATCACTCACCATTAGCAAATGGGAACATTCACATCAGTAATATCACTGACATTAACAGATGTGAACATTCACATCAGTAGTATCACTCACTATTACGAAATGTGAACATTCACATCAGTAACATGACTCCTCATTAGCAAATGTGAACATTCACATCAGTAACATCAAACATTGATATAAATACTTGGTATATCATTGTATGTCCTTTGTGTGCAGAAAATCATGCAAGAGTACCCCCCCACAAGAGGAATGAAATGATTGATGTACACATCAAAGAGTATCAAGGCCAGAGATTCTTAATCTTCCCAATACACGACAACTTCCACTGGACAATTGTTGTGTACGACGTAAAAGAGAATGTATGGAGGCATTATAACTCACTGCGCCCAAGAGAAGGCATACATGACCCACATATTGACAAAGCACAAATACTGGTAAGTGGCTAACAAAAATAATACTTGTCGTGATGTGTAATATTTGAACTTGGACGTATGCCCTATGTTGGTTAGTGCCTAATATGAAATTTCATTGTTAGCAGAGGGACTATATCACAACTTTGGTGCACAACATTGGACCATCATCACCATTATGAACCAACTTATCAAGCCAAAATACTTCGAAAACGAATCATATCAGTGGACATCTGTCCTCAACAAGCATCAAATTCATAAGCCTAAAATCAATTTCTACACATGTTCCACAACCATTACCCACCTAAATTTCAAAATCTAACAACAAGTTTGCATTTTCAGGGTGGATTGCGGGTCTGCAGTTTGTTACATCATGAGGGCGCATATATACCGTGAAGACATTGTTGCCAGCCTAGCTCACTATGAATGGTGCCAAATAAGAAACTCATTAGTACATCTTTTCCTGAACCATAGAAAGACAGTGCAATGTGAAAACTTATAAGCGGAGGTTGTCCACCTATCACTGTTACCCAAATATGTTATCCACATTTAAGACAATTTAGCGTCAATAGATTTTTCATATTGGAGCAAACTAGCTTAATTGTAAATCAAGTCTATATCATTGCTTGTACAAATATTTTTCAGTCAATATATGTATATGCATTTTCAGGCCTATTTTGTGTTGGTCATGCACATTGAGATTGTATTTTTTTTTTTGGATACACATGACATGATGTGAATGTTCACAGCACAGAATGATCGTACACTTTCTTCTGTTTTAAATCATACTACATGGATGTGAATATTGCTTAAAGTGTTCATGTAGTACAATATGACAAGTGTGAGTATGATATTTCTTAACACAAGTCAATATTCACATCTAATAATTTGATAATGTGAATATTCACATCATAACTTCTGATTATGCGAATGGCAACAATGATGTCATGAATATTCACATCTTATGAATTGATGATGTGAATGGTTACATTGATGTAAACATTCATGTCATCTACTTTGATGCTGTTAACAGTAACAACAATGTGAATATTCCTACCACAGAAATGTTTGAAAGTTCAACAATGTGAACATTCACATAATGTGATTATATTACACAAGTGTGAATGTTAACATCATGCATTCATCCAAAACACAACCAACATAAATGTCAGATTGGTACCTTAAAAAAGTGAAAATAAAACACAAATCAAATACTAATGCATTATTATGTTGGCCAACGCAACGTAATCTTATTGCAACCCAATGTTTGTCAACACAACACAATCTTATTTCAAAAATGAATATAAGAATCCAATGTAAAATATTATGGCTCCCCAACTCATCACATTTCCCACACAAACACTCCACCAAACGAGAATAACACATCGCACGGGCAACATTTATTACAGTTGTACTACAACCATATGTACACACCAA